CAAACCCTCCATCCCCCCTCCAAAGGTAGGGGTAAGATCTACATACACTTTACCCTCTCTAGAACCCACAATGTGGGATTACACTGGATATGTTGTTGTTGTACTATTTTGATGGATAACTTATACTTAGGTTGATAAAAGACACTGTTTGAGTTAATATGCAGAACGAGTTGTGGAACATTTTTGTAGCTTCTTCTTAGTGTTAGTGGTCTAATGTTCTCACGTCTGATGTGTTACTTCATGACAGCTGAGGATGAAAGCGATAAGCTATTGCTGGCTGCCAAAAGGACCAGAAGGGCAACAAGCACAGACTTTGTAATTTCATTGGTTGCGGACGATTTTTCTCGAGCTAGCAGTGCATATGTTGGAAAACTGAGGCAAGTTTCCACAAACTGATAATTATTGCCATAGCTTAAACCCTCACTATCCTTCAGAATGTCGAAAAAAGAAAAGCTTCTATTTCCTTTCATTTTGTTTTAATAGTTTTCGAAATAATTTTACCAGATCTAACTTTCTCGGGACCAAGTTCACCGTATATGATAGCCAACCTCCAAGTGATACTGTGATTCAACATCGCGGTCGACTTAGTCGACGATTCAGCATGAAGCAAGTTTCTCCGACAGTACCTGCATACAACTACAGTGTCGCCACCATTAACTATGAACTCAATGTTCTCCGAACAAGAGGGCCTAGGAGAATGCATTGCGCCATGCATTCTATCCCTTTCTCCTCTATTCAAGAGGGAGGCAGCGCTCCAACACCTAAATCATTCCCACAATCTTTTGACGAGAAGTCATCTCCCCCACCAGTCTCAAAACCAAAGCAGCCAACTGTAGATATCAGCTCGCCCGGCTTTTCAAGCTCGACAGTGTCAGTGCCTTCTCGAGAGCCACTCGTGCTAAAAAACAAGGCCCCTAGATGGCATGAACAATTGCAGTGCTGGTGCCTAAATTTTAAAGGCCGCGTTACTGTGGCGTCTGTGAAAAATTTTCAGCTAGCGACAGCAGTTGATCCTTCTCAGAATATACCAGCTGCAGTACAAGAAACAGTAATATTGCAATTTGGCAAAATCGGAAAAGACATCTTCACCATGGATTACTGCTACCCGCTATCTGCCTTCCAAGCTTTCGCAATCTGCTTGAGCAGCTTTGACACGAAACCAGCATGCGAATGATTTTCGTGCAGAATGTAAATCATGATAATTTTTGTTTCTTGGTTGCTGCATAATGTTCTGAATGATGTTTATATTTCTCTGAGAAGTTCTCAACGTACCGCAATATTTATGAATGAGAATATCAGTATATGCGTGCAGTATATATCAAGCAGTAGCTGCTAAGATAGAAGCATCTGTAAGTTCTGTATCTTAATACTTTTGCTGGAAAGTAAATCTATTCTTGTTATTTTGGGTCATTAATTGATTTCTAAAACAGGTTGATCAGGAAAAAAATAAATATAAAAAGAAAAAAAAAAAAAAAAAAGATAAGAGGTTGACCAAGATTTTATCAACCTTTCTTGGATAAACTCACTGGCATTCTATTATATTAATACAGCTTATTGTCACGTCACGAACACCTTTGAACACCGGGGGTTGGGGAGCCTCGATCTTAGCCTCCCTCGTCACCACAACATTGCTGGCTGCCTCGGTCACGCCAGCATAAACATGCTCCTTGATTGACTCTATCTTTGCCTTCATAGCATCGATAGTACTCAAAGCCTCCATGAGTCTGCACTCTAAGGCAGTGATTGTTTGCCTTAGTTCCATCTCGGTCTGTGTACGTCCTTCCAAGTTATTTCGGTTACTCTCAATCTCTTCAAGAGTGTGCTCCTCAAGAACGCTAAGGGTGTCTTCCATCTTCCCCAAGCGTTGGCCAAAGATCTCCACGGCGTCCATCCCCGCGTTTATCTTCATCACCCACTCTTTACCGAGTGAGACGTCCTCGGGCAGGACCTCCACTTCATCCTCGCTCGCCTCAGTGGCAGATGGTTCTTGAGATGTAAGCCCTTCGTTTGACACAACCGGTGGCGAAGCCAGGGATTTCATTTAGGGTGTTCAAACTTGAAAGAAGTATAAAAAATCTCCAATAAAGGGTGTTCAATATATATTATATATCACTAAAATCCAATATTTTACTTATATATACTGTGTAAATTTTCGATGAAGGGTGGTCAGTTGACCACCCTTGGGGCTACGTAGCTTCGCCCATGGACACAACCTCGGGTGGCACCTCCTGGCTCTTGTTGGTGGCATTCCTCTTTTTGCTACGGCCGCTCTTGCCATCAGCATCCTGGATGACGTTGGCTTGGGTTTTGGCAGCGTTAATTTCTCCGTCGTTTGCCATTCCCTTAGTTGCAACCTTTGCTCTGATACTACGTTGTCACGTCCTTAGTCGTTAACAAAGTACACGTGCGGCACTTGACAACTTGCTCGCGATCTTGCACAACTTGCTCACATTCTTGCTATGCCAAGTCAGCCTTACTACACTCAAGATCGCTAAGAGAATGTTAGAAAGAACACAAGAGAATTGTTAAAGGAAGCTTTGTATTAGAGAGAACTTGAATTGTTTGCTTGGTGAATCACAAATGAATGACCCCTTTATATACTAGTCTCCTAGGGGCTAGTCTTTAAATATTAATTGTTACACAAGTCCCTTATTATTTACAAGTAAGTCCCTTCTCTAGAATTTTCTATACAGCTAGAATCTTCTAAGGACTTTCCTAGCAAATCTATAGGGATCTAGGGTCTTCCTAGGGAAATGTCCATACTTTTCTAGAATCTTCTTACAGATGTTGGCCTTCCTCCTATGTAAGCTTCCACGTGGTATTAATTTATGCCAAATGGCGCCTATGTGGCATGATGACATGGTGGGTCATCACATTATAGTGCTAAATATTGTATTGTGTATCTAATGATGACATGGCGGGTCATCACACTCTCTCCCACCTAATGTTGCAACGACCGCGGCGCAATGCTGCTGCATAAACTCTCAGATCTTATCTTTGAATTGTATAAGTCTTCATATCGTTCCCACGTGGCCTCCTCCGGTGATTTCCCCTTCCAATGGACGAGGAACATAGCGATGGCTTTTTGCCCTTGTTTTCGCCTGGCCTGGTAATCCACGATAGCCTCAATCTCCCGATCATACGAGGCAGTGATAGTAATAGGCGCTCGACTTGATTGGTTGTCTTCATGATATGGCTTAAGCATGCTGGCATGGAAGACAGGATAGATCTTAGGATACGATGGCATGTTAAGCTTGTATGAGATCTTGCCTACCCTGCCGACGATCTTAAATGGCCCCTCATACTTGCGAATTAGATTCTTATGCATGCCCCGTAGTGCCTTGAACTGTCTCGGGTTAAACTTCACCAGGACCATGTCCCCAACTCGATAGTCCGTGTGACGCCGCTTACGGTCCGCAGACTTCTTCATCTTCTTAGCTGCCTTATCCAAGTAGGACTTAGCAGTGTTAAGCTGCTCCTCCCATCCTTTGGCCGTATGATAAGCCCCCAAACTCTTTCCCTCGAACGCAGCTGGTAATGAATGTGGAGTTTGTGGCAATTGGCCTGTGGCTAGCTCAAATGGTGTCCGCCCCATGGACTCACTCCGCTGCAAGTTATAAGAGAATTGGGCAATGTCTAGGAGCCTTGCCCAATCTTTCTGATGCGCGCTTACATAATGCCTCAAGTAGCATTCTAGTAAGGCATTGACCCGTTCCGTTTGTCCATCTGTCTGTGGGTGAAACTAGTGGAAAAGTGTAGTTCCGTGCCAAGTATGTCGAATAACTCTCTCCAAAAGTTCCCAGTAAAACGGGGGTCTCGATCATTTATAATATGCCTTGGTAAGCCACAATACTTCACCACGTTCTTAAAGAATAGCTTGGCGGCTTCCTTGGCAGTGCAACCTGGTGAGGCGCGCATGAAGGTGGCATATTTGGAAAATCTATCCACGACCACCATAATAGTACCATAACCGTCGGACCTCGATAGGAAAGTGATAAAGTCCATAGTCACGCTCTCCCATGGACGCTCTGCAATTGGTAGTGGCTCCAAAAGTCCTCCGGGCTGTTGCTGCTTAACCTTGTCCTGCTGGCATACAAGACAAGTCTGCACATAACACTCTATGTCATCTCGTATGCGTGGCCAATAGTAGACTGACTCAACCAAGGCCCTAGTGCGACGTTGGCCTGGATGACCAGCCCACATCGTGTCGTGACTCTCCCTTATGATCCACCGTCTAATGTCTCCAAACTTAGGCACGTAGACTCGCCGACCTGTGGTAAGCAATAGGCCGTCTTCTACCAAAAAACGTCTCGTCTTGCCCTAGTTGGCTAACTCGATAAGCTGTTTGGCTGCTGGATCATGTTGCATGCCTTCTTTTATAGCCTCACGAATGTCCCAACTTGCTGAAGTGATGGCAGCAAGCTCGGTTTTCCGGCTCAAGGCATCGGCTACAACGTTACCTTTGCCCGGCTTGTACTCCAGCACATAGTCAAACTCGGCCAAGAAATCCTTCCACCTAGCCTGTTTTGGTGTGAGCTTCTTCTGCGTCTGAAAGTAGCTAGTAGCCACATTGTCGGTCTTGACCACTAACATCGACCCAAGCAAATAATGTCGCCATAAACGAAGGCAATGCACAATGGCATTCATTTCCTTCTCTTGAATCGTGTAACGCCGCTCCGTCTCATTCAACTTGCGGCTCTCGAACGCTATGGGATGCTTATCCTGCATCAGGACACCCCCAATGGCAAGTCTGAGGCATCTGTGTGCCCCTCAAATGTCTTGGCAAAGTCAGGTAACGCGAAGACTGGCTCCTCTGTTACAGCTGCCTTAAGGTCTTCAAACGCCTTTTAACAATGCTCCGTCCAAACCCATGGATTGTTCTTCTTTAGCAACTCAGTCAATGGCGCGGCCTTTGCTGAGTAGCCACTGATGAACCGACGATAGTAGTTAACAAGGCCAAGGAAGGATCTCAACTCAGTTACCTTTGTAGGTGCCTCCCATTCCTGGATAGCACGTACCTTAGCCTCGTCCATGCGTAGCTCGCCATTGCTAATAACATGGCTTAAGAAGTGCACCTTTGATTGTGCAAACTCGCATTTCTCCCTCTTGATGTATAGCTCGTTCTCCTGCAAGACTTGTAAAACCTTCCTTAAGTGCTCCATGTGCTCCTCCAAGGTGTTGTTGTAGATGACTATGTCGTCTAGGTAGACTACCACGGACTGATCAAGGTAGGGATGAAAAATCTTGTTCATAAGGGTGCAAAATGTGGCGGTGCATTGGTTAAGCCGAAGGGCATCACCAACCACTCAAAGGCTCTATATCTCATCACACATGTTGTCTTCGTTTCATCCCCTTCTGCAATGCGAACCTGGTAGTAGCCCTTGCGAAGATCCACCTTGGTAAAGTACTTGTCTTGCCCAAGTCTATCGAACAAGTCAGCAATGAGCGGGATCGGGTACTTATTCTTCATTGTGATCTTATTAAGTGCTCGGTAGTCCCGCAGTCCAACTCATAAAGTGCAGGGGGATCTCCTGGAATGCAATTCCGTAGTCCCAAAGTAAACATACATGGGAGCTCCCGGGATACCATCCCGTAGTCCCAAAATAAAGTGCAGGGGGGATCTCCCAGAATACCGTTCCGTAGTCCCAAAGTAAATACACAGCAACAACAGAACTCAATCCTATCAATTTCATATCATAGTGAAGCAGGTAATCCTAGCCTAGCATGGTTCACGTAGTACAATTAAGGCAGTTAAAATAGATAAAGCAATTTAGTCAAGTAGGCATGCTTCTCTAAGCTACAACATGTTTAAATATCAAACAGTATAAGCAAAGAAAGGAGGAACACAATTCAAGGCTATTTTTAAAGAAGAACCGATTTCCAACAATTAGCACAAGTGCGCGCTCATCACCTCACGCATGAGGCATTTCAATTACCACAATATCACTCCTAAGGGGAAAAGTCCCCCACACAAGGTTAGACAAGCCACTTACCTCGAACCGGCTCCAAAATCAACTCGAAACCACACGTTTGCCACGAGTATCCGACACCAAATGGCCCAAATCTATTCAATTCAATTACATATCATAAATAACATCTCAAGCAACTGATTCTACGATTTAATTCAAAGCTAAGACGCAAAATTAGGTAAAATGACCAAAATGTCCCTCAGGCCAATGTCTCGGAATCGGATGAAATTAACATATTCAGAACCCTCGTACTCTCACGAGTCTAACCATATAAAAATCTCTCAAATCGGAGGTCAAACACCCACTCAAAACTCAATAATTTGGTCTAGGAAGTTTTACCCAATT